CTGCACTCCAGTCTGGGCGACAGACTCTCCAACTCAAAAAAAAAAAAAAATTTTAGATATTTTCTATGAGGGGGAGCTATTACTATAGAAAGGAGACACGTGGATTCTATAAAATCTCAGACAGAGACTACTCTGCAAAGGTAATGGAAACATCACAGAAGTACAGCCAGGTGAGTAAGAGGTTTAAAACTATGAAATCTGGCTGAGTACAGTAGCTCACATCTGAAAAGCACTCTGGGAGGTTGATGTGAGAGGATTGCCTGAGCTCTGGAGTTCAAGACCAGCCTAGGCAACATGGTGAGACCTCGTCTCTACAATAAACCAAAAAATTAGTCAGGTATGGTGGTGTGCTTCTGTAGTGGCCTCTACTCAGGAGGTTGAGGTGGAAGGATCTCCTAAACCCAGCAGGTCAAGGCTGTGACAACCATGATTGTGCCACTACACTCCAGCCTGGGCAAAAGAGTGAGACTCCAACTCAAAAAAACAAACAAAGAAAAATATGAAATCTACTCAACAATAGTCCCATCTCCACCCAGCCAAATGCAGTTGTCCTCCAATATGGGGGGATTTGCTCTAGTCCCCTCCTTCATTGCATATACAAAAATTCATGAATATTCAAGTCTCCCCAGTAAGCCACGAGGAAGAGATAAAATGAGGTCTGGAAATTCAAACCGAAAAATACATATATTTGCAATTTATGTCACAAAACAAGTAACCCTAACATGTAAAGAACTCCCAAAATCTGAGAAGATCAAGCTCCCCAAAAAAGTGGGAAAAAGAACAGACAGTTCTCTAAAAAAATAAACACAAATAGATATTAAACACAAAATGATGTACAACCTCATTCATAAATCAAAACTACACTGAGAACCACTTGATTTATTACAAAGGCAACTGTGCAGTGGGGAAAGGGTGGCCTTTCAAATAAATGGCACATGGCCAGTTTGAGGATATCCATAAAGAGAAAAAATAATATTGACCCCTACCTTCATCAAAAAAACAAACAAAAAAATCAGTTTTAAGTTAGGTTGAAGACTTCAGCATGAAGTCAAACAATAAAGCTTTTAGAAGAAAACACGGGAGAATATTCTCATACCTTAGGATAGAAAAAAGATTCGTCAAACAAGATACAAAATGTGCTAACCATAAAGAGAAAAAAGATACACTGGACTACATTAGAATTAATAATTTCTGTTCAACAACAAAAAACATGAAAAGTGATAGACACCTTCTACCCTGCACAGTACTCTGCAATATATATATCTAACCAAGGATTTGTTTCCAGAATACATAAAGAACTTCTAAAAATAAATAAGAAAAAATATGGTAGCACACGCCTGTAGTTCCAGCTACTTAGAAGGCTAAGGCGGGCCGGGCTCGGTGGCTCAGCCTGTAATCCCACGCTTTGGGAGGCCGAGGTGAGTGGATTGCCTGAGTCCGTGGGTTCGAGACACGCCTGGCCAACTTGGCGAGACCCCCATCTCTACAATAAATCAAAAAATTAGCTGGGCGTGGCAGCACACGCCTGTAGTTCCAGCTACTTGGAAGGCTGAGGCGGAAGGATCGCCGGAGCCCAGCAGGTCGAGGCTGCGGTGGCGGGGAGCGGCCACTGCACTCCAGTCTGAGTGACAGAGTGAGACTCCAACTCAAAAAAAAAAGAAAAAAAGAAAGGGAGAGCCAGTAGTGAAAACTGCTGGGGGGGGGGGTCACACCTCATCAACAAGGGTACCTGCATAATGAACATTTGTATACCTAACCCTGAATTGTACTCCACATATTTAAAATTTTTTAAATGTATTAAAAAAAGAATATAAGCTGGGCACAGTGGCTCATGGCTATAATCCTCTAACACTTTGGGAGGCGGAGGAGAGAGCAGCCTGAGTCAAGGGGTTCAAGACCAGTCTGGGCAACATGGAGAGACCTCAACTCTACAATAAATAAAAAAAATTAGCTGGGCAAGGTGGCACATGCCTATGGTTCCAGCTATTTGGAAGGCTGAAGCAGAAGGATTACCTGAATCCAGCAGGTAGAGTCTGCAGTGGCCATGAGTGTGCCACTGTGCTCTAGCCTGTGTGACAGAGATTCTGACTCAAAAAAAAAAAAAGAAAAGAAAAATAATATGAAAAGACAGATAATACCAGGTGCTAGCAAACACATAATGAAACTAGAACTTTTATGCACATCTAGTGGGAAAAATGATACAACCAATATAAAACTGGCTATGAAAGCAGAACCTATATACAGCCTATAACGTAGCAACTAACTGCTAGGTATATATAAAATAGAAGTGTGGCCGGGCTCGGTGGCTCAGCCTGTAATCCCACGCCTTTGGGAGGCTAAGGTGAGTGGATTGCCTGAGCCCAGGGGTTCGAGACCCACCTGGGCAGGCGACACCTCATATCTACAATAAATCAAAAAATCAGCCGGGCGTGGTAGCGCACACCTGTAGTTCTGGCTACTTGGAAGGCTGAGGCGGAAGGATCACCAGAGCCCAGCAGATCGAGGCTGCGGTGGCTGGGAGCAGCCACTGCACTCCAGTCTGGGCGACAGAGTGAGACTCCAACTCAAAACAAACAAACAAACAAAATAAATAAATAAAT